TAGCCCATGTACATATGTGAGAACTATCGATATGTGAGTCTATAGAGGTTGTGCACTATGCTGTCACCACAGCTCGTATAAATGCACCGAAGTGCCCCGTAGAATTGCACCGTAGTGCCATATAATGATGTCCATAAGGACCACATAGAATTCTTTAAGAATCATATACATATGCTAGGGATCAAGTATGTGTCTTTCCAGACTTCACACATGTTCCAAAGAATATACATATGTCCCGAAGAACCGCGTAGAATTGCACCGTAGTGCCATATAATAATGTCCATAAGGACCACATAGAATTCTTTAAGAATCATATACATATGCTAGGGATCAAGTATGTGTCTTTCCAGACTTCACACATGTTCCAAAGAATATACATATGTCCCGAAGAACCGCGTAGACCCTCGACTCTTGGCATGCCAACTATACCCCTAGCTCTCATGACACATAACATGGGTGTTATCATTTATTTCATTTCAAATATTCACATAAACTTGTAATTCACTTTCACATATCACTTATCACATAGCTTCTTTTCATATGATCACATAGTCACGTAGTTCACTTACACGTAGATCATTTCCATATAATTCACATGTCACATATGTCATGTTTTCATATAATTTCTATCATTTCTCACCCAATCACCTTTATTCATGTACACATACTCATCATATCTTGTTCACAGATGATCATATACTTCATATAACAGATAGGAACACTTTCACGTAGCTTATAATCATAGGTTTTGTCTCATAACATATCATGTAACATTATAATAGAAATACCTATAAGTCATATCACTTAGAGCACATATACTTATAGTCACATTGCTTATATCTTAATCTTATGCCTTCTCTTAGACATATATATATATATTCACATGTTCAGGTAATCTACCATTTCATCATATAATTGTGTATTCATATAACTCATTTCATTTCATATCTATCTATATATATATCCTCAAGATTATCCTAATATAAATCATATAGCACTCTTATATTTCGTATTCATATTCATCTAGGGCAGACTTATAAACATATCTCACTTCTATTATTTCTCTATATATAATCTAATCTGTTTACTTAATTCAATTTCATATAACTCCTATAATCTTCTCATATAACTTCATAATTTTATATCATACAACCCATGTGTTATAGTTTTATTTAAACATATGAATCTTTCCCATCTAGCTTATCTTATATGTTCATCTTATCATTTATGTTCAAATCTCTTAGTTAGTGTACTATTCTCACTTCATCCTATAGATCAATATTATCCAGCTTATTTCACTTATCATATAGTAATAATTATATTTTACTATGATCACATAGTTTATATCTCATATAATTCATAACCTTTCTTATGTAATTACTTATACTTTATCATCTAACACATAAAAGAACAGATCAATCCATATACTCAAGCATACATACATGCATATTCAACTCATGCCTTTAATCATGCATTCATGTGTAACATTTCAGGAAATAGACTCATCGCAAGTCTTATTCCCATTGCACATCATATACTATTGAATATGCACTCACCTGGCCTCACTAGTCAATTCCAATCTCTTATCTTTCCCCTTGATCGATCTTACTTGTCAATGGTTCCGGAACTCGTTTAAGCTCTGAATCTACATAATTATACATTTTAAGGCAATTATTAGATACCTACACCTTGTAATTTGATACTAGCAACTTAAACGAACTTATTAAACCCATATTCCCAATTTTCCTTTAGGGGGAATCGGTTCCCCCCTATGGGGGTATCGGTTCCCCCATGACATACTGGAAATTCTTGTTCGTTTGAAGGGGTATCGGTTCCCCTTGAATGGGTACCGATTCCCCTTGCCCAGAAATCATATTTTGAGCTCGAAAATCCTTCATTTTCAGCTCAACACATCATACTTCATTCCCTTTAATATTCCTAACTTTCATACACATACTTAAACTCATTTCTACTCCATAATCACTTCTTTAAACTCAAAATTCTATCATTTACATGGCATTCAAGAATCACACTAAATTTCCAACATGTTCTAAAACCCATTCTATCACTTCATATCTCTTAATTTAACCCTTGACAAGTCAAATTCAACTTCACAATCTATTATCTCCTTCCATATCAAAAATTCACTTAAAAACTCATTTTTCTTAATTTCTCATAACTTGTTAATCTTTGAGGTTTAAGCCACCTAAAGCTTTCCTTAATCTTTCTTAATATCCCAAGAATCAAAACAAGCTTTAAAACGAAAGAATTAACCAACTAAAGACCCACTTACCTTATACCAGGCTTCACGGTTGAGAGGAGGAAGAAGAAGACTGAAGAATGCTCTGGACTTTTCTTCCTACGTGCTTATTACCCTTTATAAAGGGAAATAAAAATCTTCCCTGAAAAATTACCATAGTACCCTTAATATTTCCAAACTTAATTATTAAATCCAACATCAACTTTCTTCACTTAAATCCATGAACTTTTAACTTATTTCGAAATCGAGCACCTAGTTTACAAAATTTGCAATTTAGTCACTGACCCTGATTTGGGATGTTACAGTGCGACTCAAATTTAAAGTGGTACAAATTAATATTTAAATTTGAAAAATTAAGAATCATAGTTTGATTAAAAGTAGAAAACTTTATTAAAGTATATTTCTACTCTATTTAATTTTCCTTTGTAATTAAGAATCTATCCTATAAATAGATACAAAGGGTAAATGTTAGAAATTAAGTTTTTCTTTCAACAAAATCCTCTTGTATTTTCTTCCTTTATATTAGTTAGTAAAATTCTTCTACTCTGCGCGTGGTTTTTCCTTTTGGGTTTTCCACGTAAATATTGGTGTTTTTTCTTTTGTTCGATCGTATTTATTTATTTGCCGATAATTGTTACGATATTTATAACAATAACCATGGAAAAACTCCTGCCTTTTATAGTGCTGGTCATCTCATTTCCAGGGTCACTGACAAGAGAAAATGTAGGACTAGAGGTGCACTGGCTGTAGCTCAATCAAGACCGACTACCGCCGATAATTATTTCTCAAGCGATGATTCTAAAAATGTTGGCTTTGAAGAAGATTATGAGTCTGGACTCGAGAACAAGTTCAGTGTTTCCATGCTCCCTTCACCTGCTGAGGCTTAATGCATTGGCTTCTGTCTCTTTCTTCTGAGAGTGACGAGGAGAATTCTGCTTCTTTGCATGGCTTGCTCGAAAAATATAAAACACGTCTTTCTCCTTCATCACCATTATCGGATCTTGGTTTTTCCTTTAGCAATGACAAAAGTGATGATACTAATAGTGGCACCGGAAAGAGCTGGAGCACAAATAGTATGTTCATTTCAACTCAAGGTCCTCAGTTTCGACTAAGTTCAGATTGTCTATCGCCTGTGCTCTTGTTTCATCTTTTCCAAATGTCACACCTTATTCCAGATCCGTTCCGCCAAAAGAAGAGGAAAAACGCCGCTACGATATTGATAGGAGAAACTCTCCACTGTCTGCAGATACATTAGGGAGTGAAAATGTTATGCAAACCCCAAACTCCGATACAAGCTTCGAAAGACCTATTAGGCTGTCATGTTCAAGTTTAAAGTATCACAAGAGACATCATCACCATCATTCCAAGCTATTTTCGATGGTTGAAGATCTCCGGATGGCGAGGTTGTCTCTCGAGAGCCATGTTTCAATATGGGATACAACCGGTTCGATTATTAAGTTTGATCACCTGTCTGTCTATAAGCTCCCGATTCCATGGATCTTTCTCAATTTCAGGAAATTGCGGATGATCAATATTTGTGACGTATCACAATCTGAAATGAGAATATCCTGGAAGGAAGGGTTAGTAAGTCCCATTTTTGCCCTTTTCCAAGGTTTTATACATATGAAATTTATGGCTTTGTAATCTTTAATTTCTAATTAATTAACACATGATTAAGTGTTTTACCATATAGGGCCTATCATTCTTTGAAAAAAAATGAATCGGTTTAATAAAAATTTTGTTGATTTAGTTCAATGCTTTAAATTATTATAAAATATATACTAAAAAGTACATCATTAAATCAAATACAATTATAATCTGTAAATCTTAGACGCTTTATATCTTCTTCAGGTGAATATAATTAATTAAAAAATGTATATAAAAAAAGGAAAGAAGAGAAAGCGAGAAATGTAAAATAGAAGCAAAGGCAGAACAAAGTGAGAAATGGTGCAATGGTGGGGTCCAATTTGTTATTTGTTAGTTTACTATTCTCTCTTTTTGTGGGTTTTTATGATAATATTGAATTATTCTAAATAAATATAATCTCTGTAATAACCATTTTTTATTATTAAATAATTTATATTTAAAAGCAATTATGATTTTGTTTTGAAAATTTTAAATTTTCTGTTAATTTGAAATTTAGAGTCGTCATCGACCTTTGGGTTAGGTAGGTCGGATACTAAAAACGTCTTTTAAAATAATTTTAAAGAAAAAAATATTGGTCTGAGTGTCACTAGAAATTCATTTTTCAGGATTCGGTGTTGCATACGGTCGGGGAAGGGTGAGCACCCCCTAAATTTTATATATCTAGTTAAAAAATACATGTATAAAAAATATATTAAAATAATATGTAATAAAAATATTTAAAAAATATTTAATTAACTTAATAAGAAACAAATATTAAAATATTTTATTCGAATAACCCTCGGATTGACACCCTAAATTTTTAGAGGCATTCCATTAATCGAACAATTAAACATAAATTTATAAAATTACGAGATACTAATAATAATAAATTTTGTTATTTAAATATACTCAATAAAAAACTTTTTCTATCAATACCTAAATACATTCATAAATTATCAAAATATGATATATAACCCATATTATAAAACCACGCATTTATACATATTTCAAAATATCATTTAAAATAATAAACATAGATATACACCTATCACAAAAATAAATAAATAAATAAATGCACAAATAATCAGGGTGACTAAATCAAAATAATAACAAGATGCTTTATGTTGGACTTGTATTTGCCACCAAAGCAGATAAGATTGTTGGGTCTCTTGGTTATGAGAATTCTTTTCATGGGAGATTTGGTTTCTCTGGAATAACTCCTCCGAAATTGAAATCCTCCATATCTCCAATCAATGTATTCATGGAAAAATTTATAGAGAAGAATGCTACTAGGTGGAGTTTCTTCACTACCGTATATGCGAGCCCCAACATCACTATAAAGAAACAACTTTGGGACCAACTTTCGAGCTTCAATCCAGGAAAAATGAAGCCTGGATCATTGGTGGAGATTTTAACTGCATTCTCAAGAATGATGATATACATTGGGGGTAGCGAACAGAACAGAGGGAGCAACAGTCTTTTCAACAACTTTAATTTCGACAACTGCCTCTTAGAACTAAACTATGTTGGTCAAAAATTCACCTGGAGGAGAGGGAATCTTTGGCAACGTATGGATCAAGCTTTCATAAACGAGGAATGGAGCAACCGACTCCTAGACACTAGAGAAATACATATGGATCGCATTGGCTCTGACCATAGTCCACTTCTAATTCAATCGACCAAAGAATCGGGGTTAAGGAAGACCTTTTCGGATGCTGGCAGCCTGACTCGACCACCCAAAATTTGAGGAACCATTGAACAAACATTAGGTAACAAATGACGATATCAACACAAACTTGAAAAAGTTCAAGGAAGAGGTCACCAAATGGAATAGGGAAACCTTTGGTAGCATTAACAAGAAGAAAAAAGAGCTCCAAGCTAGACTAAGAGTGATTGATAATGCTCTACAAAGAAAACACTCAGATTTCTTAGTTCGTTTAGAAAAAGAATTAAAAGCTGATTTGGAAGAAACACTCAGACAAGAAGAACTTCTATGGTTCCAAAGAACAAGAAGTAAATGGGTACTACATGACGATAATAACACTAGTTATTTCCACAAAAGTGCAATTGCTAAACAAAGAGCAAATACTATATTTGCATTGGAAGTCACTGATGGAGATGTTTGTATAGACCAGGAGGCTTTGAAATCACACGCTATTCAATTTTTTAAAGAGCTCTTCACAAGCTCCATTAGAGACAACCAAATTTCAACCCCGAGGAACCAGATTCCAAAAATCTAAGCAAGCCAGCTCACAGCATTGGAAGCTCCTGTAGAGGAATAAGAAATAAAAGAAGCAGTCTTCAGTATGGGCCCCCTCAAGGGCTCAAGGCTCCCGGAGCAGGTGACATCCATACCATGTTCTACCAGAAAATTGGGACCGAGTGGGGGAAAGTGTTTGCGAACTAGTCAAGAAATTCTAAAATGTGAGCCAATGGATGAAACCATTAATAGAACTTTGTTGGTGTTGATCCCGAAGGTAGAAAATCCTGCAAAAATTTTGCAATTCCGACCAATAAGCATGTTTTCATTCCTCTATAAAATTGTTACGAAGGTCATTGTTAATAGAATCAAACCCCTACTTCCCGACCTCATCTCCAGTAACCAGACCAACTTTGTAACACCTTCAACCCGTATTCGACCCGGATACAAGTCTGAGGTGTCACATTGACTTTTCAAACTTTAACCTTTGACGAAAACCAAGGAAATTTAAAACTTTTATTAAAATAACATTTTTACTGTACACGAGTTAACCAAAACAAGACAAAACTGATCAGAGCATTTGTAACCAACACTTTTCTTACATGCCAACACTATACACGACAAAAGACATACTTTATCCATTACTTCTGATCTGATCTTCTAGCAGTGCTGTTGTTCTTGTCACTCCTATTTCTGTTCTTCCCGATTCTGGTACCTACGTGTAAATCACTTACACGCTAAGTCACAGACTTAGTGAGGCAATAAACATATAATGTAACTTTAACTAGCAATCATACATAAACAATTATTACCATCATTTCACACAACTCATATACTTTTCCATATAACAATTACATACATACATATGTGTCATTATCATTCATATCTCTTACCCCCTATTCCTATGATCTTTTATATACCTATCATATATCACACATAACATTTCACAAGGAAACAAACATATCATCATATTCAGTTTATTAATATTATCTCTTTATTAGCCTATGGTACACATGTGAGAACTATAGATATGTGAGTCTATTGAGATTGTGCACCACTATGTTGTCACCACAGCTCGTATAAATGTCCCGAAGGACCTATCCAGAGGTCATAAAGATCCTCGGTAACTGTCCATATGTTCCTAAGAACATAGGTAACCATCGACTCTTGGCATGCCAACTATACCTCTAGCTCTCAATACACATAACATGGGCATTTTTCATTTATACACTTTCATTGCTCTTATGATCACATATTACTTTTCTTCTGTCACATATCACATGTGCATATAGTCACATAGTTTACTTTCATGTCACTTTTCATGTAAACATATGATTCACTTTCACGTATCACATATACTTTCTCTTTCATATAACTCATGTCTTGTGATCATTTAAACACGTATCACATAAAATAACATGTCAAACCTATCATTCCACTGATACAATATTTTCATATATTCCTGTAGTTCAGTATCATATATCATATGGATCATATAAATCATGTCACATATACTCATGCATACATAGAATTCACAAATCAAATAACATTTGACGAGTTACTTATTACCATAGTAACTCCGTCACTGGCTCATCGCAAACCAATGCTTATTCGATAACATAAGTACAATAAAATTGCACTCACCTTAGCCTTGCTTGCTTTGATTTGATTCTAATTCTTCAATTGTTCCGGAACAAGCTTTCATTCTATATCTACATAATAATAACACATTGATAAATATCAATATACTAATTGATATATTCTAAGCTATCACTTCATAGGCTATAAGAAAGTCATTTTTAACTTTTAATGAAGGCATGCATCGATGCACTACACCATGTATCGATGTATCCCTGGACAGGTGCATCGATGCACTATCCATGCATCGGTGCATAAATCCTATTCGATGTTTGCATTTTAAGCAGGTGCATCGATGCACTCCTTATGCATCGATGCACTAATTGCATTCGATGTTCATTTATTTGAGAGTGCATCGATGCACATTGAAGATGCATCGATGCACACAACCCAGAAATGATACTTTGAGCACGAAAATCCCTTCTTTATTCTCTCAACTCTTCATATTTCATCCCTTTTTTTCTATTCTTAACTCTTATACACCTATTTAAACTAATCTATACTCATTTATTTCATCTTAAACCCCAAAATCCTATCCTCCTTATGAGATTCAAGAATTATACCAACTTTGCAACATGATTTAATTCCACTTCTAACACTTCATATGTCTTAACTAGATTGATGACAAGTCAAATCCAACTTCCAATTCTAATTATCAACTATATATCAAAATTTCATTCAAGAACTCTAAATCTTTAATCTTCCCTAACTCTTTTATCTTTTGATTTTAAGATAACTTACGCTTTCCTTAAGCTTAGTTATCATCTAACGATCAAAACCCAAACCTTAAATTAACAAATAATTAACAAATCAGAAAGCTTACCTTTTCTTGGCTCTCTTTCACGTATGAAGAAGAAGAAGAAAGAAGAAAGCTCTGGAGAAATCTCTCCTTCCCACATGTATATATCCTTACCATATCCCATTTTTAATTCATTTCTTAGTCAAATGACCCTTTTGGCCTTTAATACCTTTTATAATTACTAGCATCTTTAAGGTAATATTTCCAAATAAATCATTGAACTTTTCAACTATTCCATTTTAATCACCAAATCCTGAAATATTACAATTTGGTCACTAACCCGGTATTGAGGATGTTACAAACTTTTTCCCTGGTCGAGTAATCATTGACAATATCGTAATAGCACAAGAAATCATCCACTTAATGCAACGGAAAAAGGGAAGGAATGGTTGGATGGCAATCAAAATCGATTTAGAGAAAGCGTATGATCGCCTCGAATGGTCTTTCATTGACGACACACTTAAAGATATTGGCATACTTGACCTCCTACGGAACATAATTAGGAACTGTGTTAGTTCAGTGTCCACTCAGATTGATTGGAATGTATCTCTCACAGAAATTTTCAGATCTTCAAGAGGCATTAGGCAAGGTGACCTACTATCCCCATACTTGTTCGTGCTCTACATGGAGAGACTTGACCAAGCAAAAACCGAAGAAATCAACAATGGATCTTGGAAGCCAATAAAGCTCGCCAAATTTAGACCCGAAATATCTCACCTATTTTTTGCTGATGACCTCTTTCTCTTTGTCGAAGCCAAAGTTTCTCAATTAAAAGTAATAAGGAAGGTTATACATATTTTTTACGCAAAATTTGGGCATAAAGTGAGCATTTCAAAGACTAACATCTTCTTTTCTGTGAATATTCCTAAGGAAACCAAAACCATCAGCATCACAAGTATAAGCTTCAAAGAAGTTAGCGATCTCGTCAAGTACCTCGGGGTCCCACTTTTGCATAAAATAGTCACGAGGAAAACGTACCAGCCAATAGCACAGAAGGTAATAAACCACTTGACAGGTTGGAAGGCTAAGTCCTTATCCTTGTAGGTAGGCTCACTTTATCCAAGTCTGTACTCTTAACAAATCCCTATTACACGATGCAATCTGCGATGTTGCCGAAAGGAACTTGTAGTGACCTGGAAAAACATAACTACCAAAATATGACTTTCTTCATGAAACTGGCCTATCATACTAAGAAGGGTCAAATGTGGGTTAAAATTCTACAGGGCAAGTACAAAATTAAAGAGATCCTGTCTAAGTCCCTACCTTACAAAAACGGCTCGCATATATGGAAAGGCCTATGCAAAGTATGACCAACCTTTCGAGAAAATGTAGTATGGAACCTGGGGAACGGTGAACATATTGAATTTTGGGAGGACAATTGGATTAAGGACTTAGGTCCCCTTCGGATTCATTGTCTCCAACCGAACAACATTACTAAAACTCCTTGCAAAGTAAAAGACCTCATCAACGAAAACAACGAATGGAGCTGGGAGAAAATCAGGAACGTACTCCCAGAAAAAGCTATCCTAGCCCTTGAGACAATACCTCCCCCGCTCGACCTGGCAATTGAAGATTCTGTTGGTTGGAAAGGTACAGAGAATCGTTTGTTCTTAGTAAAGTCATCATACAACCTTACCCTTAGTTCCGTAAATGAACAGTCAGAGCCTGGGAGATTCTAGAAAAGTACAAAAACTTCCCTAGAATCAAGGTGTGGTTGTGGCTGGCCATCAATGACAGGCTACTCACGAATGTCGAAAGGGTCAGGCTCCATATGGCCACTGACACTAGGCGTCAAATATGTGGAGCAGACAAAGAAAACATTGATCACATCCTTGGATATTGCCCCTGGCATTCCAGATTTGGAAGAAAATGCTACCACCTGACAAACTTGAGGAGTTTATGAGTTGCCATGTTAAGACCTGGCTCGTGGAGAATCTGGAGAAATCAAGGGAAACAAAGGAAGAGATTGGACATTGGCCAACTTTCTTTGGAACCACCGTGTGGACATTATAGGACAGAAGGAACAAAACCATTTTCGACTAGGAGGGATGCGAAAAGGAATCAACCTTTGGAAAGGGAATAAGACTGACCAGAGAATTTTTGAACTCTA